AGAGCTAAAGCGACGAACCAACGTCGTAGGTATTTTCCCAAATACAGATTCATGTTTAAGGCTGGTTTCTGCAGTGTTAATTGAGATTGATGAAAAATGGAGTCAAGGAAGTAAATATTTAACTTCAAAGCAACCGTTACAATAACGCTATTTTTTACTGTTAAATGAATCGCAGTGCACTGCTACGAGTTGCTTTTGAAAATAGTTGGTATATTTTTAGAGAGCTTAAAAAAATTATTATTATCTTTTTTTTGAGCTCAAGATGTTTTACAATCCTCAAGTGCTTTGTGAAAACACATGAACTTTTAGACTTAAGTGAAGGTCTCAGAGAATTCACAGATTTTTTTACAGAAAGAATTACGCTCTATCTCAAGAGGGCCCTTATCATGTCTGAAACAGCATTAAGTCAATACCTAACATCAGACTCACCCACTATTGCCATGCGTAATGCAGCAATGCACGAGTTACGCGCCCTATCTACAAGTGCTTTATATCAACAAAAACTCGATGAAGTTGCTGGGAAATTGGTTCTGACAGCTGAAGCAGAAAAACAAGCAAAAGAACACGAACAAGCTATTAAAGAACAAGCCTTAACAACACTAGAACGAACACACCCAGAAACAGTAGCGAGAATACGTCAATACCAGCAATTATCAAAAGAAACACATGAAACACAATTAGCACTACAGCATGGAGAGCATGACCTATAGTGCTCAACGCGGACTATTATTGGCGCAAAGCACTTTTGGAAGCACCACCCCCTTATCTGAAGAGCAGCTTGTTGACGAAACGCTAAAATCGATTAAATCCGGGCCAGCCAAATCAGAACTACGCGAGTATGCAGAAAAAGAGCACGCAAAAAGCAAACTTCGTAAAGAAACCGAGGAAGCCGAAGGTTATCAAGAGTACTTAACAACATTTACAGCAGCTATTAAGAAAAAAAAGCTGAGATTCTTGGCTCACTCACTTCCGCAAAAGTAACAGATTACGAACAAAGAGTAGCCAAAAAAAAGCTGGAAAGAGACACTGGAACAACGGCACAAACAGAAGTAGCGAATGAAACTTACCAAGATTTAATTATTACCTGTAAAACAGCTTGGCAACGCTTGTTAAATTTATCAAACGCTTTTGGCGATGACGAGCAAGATATGCAGGCTGCCGTATGGTGCGGCACCGTCGTAGAGATTAAAGAATCAGATGTTGACAAATCCTGGAACAAAGAAGAAGATGCGTCACGCCAAGAGTGCACAGCACTCGAATTTGAAAAACAACAACGCGCTGCAATCGCAGCACTTGAAGCATGGATCAGAGAACGTTTTCCTGAAAGCAAGAGCACAACATCACACATTGGCCCGACAGAAGAAGAAAGGGACGCAGAACCACCTATGTTTGCTGACTGGCCACTAGCAATAGGCATGGGTGCAGACTTGGGCTTGCTAATGATATACTCGCAGTTAGCACTAGCACAAGAGCAATCACGCTCAGCCTCACCTCAATTAGATGATGAACAGTGTCGAGAAAAGCGTGAAGCTGGTTTAGCACTCGTTGAAACACTAAATAATGACCTTGATACATTCATGCAAAAAAAACACTATAACCACCCAGGTCAAATAACAGCCTATACACAAAGAACAGCACATTTGATGACAACATCAAATTCAGCGAAAAGCTTAAGCAAACATCGCGGCTTTCGCCAACATCAAACGGCAATTGTTGGTGGTTTACTAGTATTAGGTGTAATCGTACCCGGCCTACTTGTACTAGCTGGCTTAGCAGCTTACTCAAAAGCAACCAGAGGCACATGGGATTTCTTTAAATCGGATGGAGCTGTTCAAAGAGACAACACCGCAAGCACTCTTGCAACAAATGCGAGCTGCCTTGTCCCGCCTGTTCGTTAAAAAAACCTTGCATCCGGCAGGCAACGCGATATAATGCCCGCTACTTGCCGACGTGGCTCAATTGGTAGAGCATCTGATTTGTAATCAGGCGGTTGGGAGTTCGAGTCTCTCCGTCGGCACCATTCTTCTCACATGTTTATTCAAATTACTCACCAGCAACATTAAAACCGTTATAGATTGCAATGATTTTGGGAGATTGCCACGCCTGCTTCGCAGGCTCGCAATGACGTGCAAATGGGTAAAACTCTAAAATATCTTGGGATCACAATGACGGCCGAAGAAGAAAGATATGCGCATACCATATCAATCTTTAGCTATAGAACGTCAACTATGATTTCCGCTCAGCGACAATTATCTTTGCCGGTATGAGAAAAAAATTATGTCATAATTTACCTCCGACCACTAATTTGCTGTTTATTTTTAGCATTGCTTTTACGAAAGCTTTGTCCTTGTACACTAATAATAGTGGTGTGATGAACGAGCCTGTCAATAGCCGCAACGGCCATCATATTGTCAGGAAAAATAGTATCCCATTGTGCAAAAGATTGATTAGCAGTGATAATCAGACTTTTACTTTCATAGCGCTGAGCAATCAATTCAAATAGTACACTGGTTTCAGCATCTTCTTTTTTGACGTAACCAATATCATCGAGAATAATCAGCGGTATTCTCGACAATTTTGCTAGCGCTTCTGGCAAACGAAAATCCGCTTTGGCTTTCTGCAACTGTTGCACAAGTGTGGTGGTCGAATAAAAACTGCAGCGAATACCTTGTTCGATTAACCGATAAGCAATCGCACAAGCCAAATGTGTCTTGCCAACACCGCTTGGCCCAAAGATAATGAGGTTATTGGCATTATTAACCCAACTGGTATTGTCCGCTAGCGCCGTGACGTGGGCCGCATTGATCGATGCAGTGCGGTTATAATCAAATGCATCTAAGGTTTTCCCTGGTGGCAATTTCGACTCTTTTATGTGACGTGCAATTCGCTTTTGCTGTCTATTAGCCGCTTCCATGCTACTCAACCTCATGAGATATTCAGTGTAATGCCAGTGTTTCTCCTCAGCGATTTTTGCTTGCTCATCATAATGCGCGAGAATACACGGTAATCCGAGTTGCTTTAACAGTAAGGGTAACGTTGCTGTATTAGCCATGATACACCTCCATAGGATTGAGCAGTTCGTCGTATTGATTCAACGCATGCTGAACGACATTTACCATTGGCACTATTGTCGGCGTGTTCTTTTTGTCAAACTTGGCTTGCAAGGTTGAGAGTGACAATGAGTTCCCTTGGTCCATATCAGCCAATATCATTTGAGCGAGCTGGCTCTCACAATCGTGTTTTGCCGCTAAGTGCAACACACCTGTAATAAAGCGACAAGCTGCCTTAGCATCCATCTTGTTGTCAGCATACTGCCAAATACGTTTATAATTGTCGTTTGGCAGTAGATCATCACGGAGTTGGCTATACCTAAACGCTTGTGGCTTTTTCACCAAGGAATGGATCACATGCCGATAATCAACATTCCGAGCGCGCAATGCTTTACCTTTAGGGTGCACTCTTTGCAAAGTAATAACGTGCTTGCAACCGCAAAAGCACTCCAAACGATTATCGTATAACCTAACTTGCAGGGTACAGCTTTGCAGCTGGGATGGTACTGTGTAAGTCACTCGGCGTACATCAATCGTACTACTACTGGTTACCACCGCTTGTACTTGAGTATAGCCCATCGTTCTAACTTCAGCCAACGGCAGTAAAGTGGGTTTCTCAACCGATAATGCTTTAGCATTACGTTGATTGTGAGACGTTACGGCAGCATCAATAAATTCTTGGTATTCATCAACATTGGCAAAATCACAACCGCCTCGTAGCAATAATGCTTGTTCAATTCGACGTTTTATATAACCATGAGCAGACTCAACACCACCATTTTCATGACCTTTACCACGATTGTTACGACTAGGCTTCATCTGATAGTGTTGGCACAAGGCAGCATAACGCTCTGTCACATCAGTTACTTCATCAGCGCTTAAGTTTTTAAAAGCTGCCGATAGACTATCAGTACGGTGCTGGGCAGGTGCCCCGCCTAGTTGCTGAAGTGCGTTTTGCAAACCTTCACTGAGCGCGGTGAAAGACTCGCCACCTATCACTACTTTAACTCGACTCCTGACATTTTGTTGCTAAGAAATTAATTTTTGCGTCACTCCTAATTAACAATCTCCTGAATAGTAGTATTAGATATCATGACTTCTTTATGCTGCCTTTTTAAATTTCGCATATAAAGCCGGATCACTTGCATACTGGCTCATATCTAAATTCATCATATGTTTTTTAGATTTTCTAAGTTCATATATATCCAACAGTGTTGCAGACATTTTTTCATATTCCGCTTTGGGCTTATCTGAGTAAATCAACTCTTTAACAGAATCTAAAAATGCTTCCATTTTAATTTTACTTGTAAGGCTTCCAACGGTCCCCGCTTGAAGTTTTGCATCAATCAAGGTTGACTGGTCTTTATGAAAATATAAGGAATGGTCAACCAGCAGGCTCAGGATCAAGCCTCTGCGAGGACCGTCGTCACCTTGCTGGATGGCCAACCTGTCATACCCCATATGTCCCTTCCAATCTTGAATAAACACCTCTACTAGCCATCTTAGTGTATAAGCACTCACGATATCAATAGCACGCCACGTTAAATCTGTTGCTGTAATAAACCGATACTCATTCTCACCTTCATATTTTAAGGCGATAACAAATAATTGTAAGCGATTCAACAACTACATTCTTATAAAGCGTATTTTTTTCTGTCAGACTTCCAGGGTGTTTATATTAGGAGGCATTGTCAATGTCAGAACAGGTATTATTAACAGCAGATCAATGGCGGCAACATGTCGAACACTGCAGGGCAAGCGGTTTAACAATCAAAGCTTACAGCAAGCAGCATACGTTGAAGTATAGCATCTTACTCTATCACTATAGGAAAGCCTATCCAATCAAAAAGAATACGAAGCTTATTCCAGTACAGCTAAAATCAGGCGTGTCACTGTGTCGCATAGAGCTTCACAATGGCCATGCAATATCAGTGCACGACGCTAGTTTATTACCAAATATTCTACAGGCGTTACTACCTTGAATATTTCCTACAAGACGCCTATTTGGCTTTATCCAAGACCAGTCGATTTTAGAAAACAAATTGATGGGCTTGTGATACTAATCGCTGATGAGTTATCGTTGAACCCCACGTCTGGTGAGCTATTTATCTTTCGGAATCGTACCGCTAAAAAAATAAAATTATTGTGGTACGACCAAAACGGCTTTTGGTTATGCTACAAACGCCTTGAAAAAGGAAGGCTATTATTTCCTCTCAACACAAGTGGTGTTATGGAGATAACGAGAGACCAGCTAACTTGGTTATTATCAGGTTTAGATTTTACACGGCATCATTCACTGCCAAAGGTAGATGCTGGTTATTTTTGTTAAAGTTTAGAATAAAAAGTGCTATAACAGCTATATTATAGTATAATTGTGTTTTACATTCTTTTAATATTCGTATGAATTTTTCACAAAAGCAATTCGAAAACCAAATTGAAGAAATTAATCGACTTAAACATCAGCTTGAACAATCTAAACAGGCTTATGACTGTTTATATCAACAACTCCAGAATTTACTACGTCATCGTTTTGGCACACAGTCAGAACGCGACATTGATCCCAACGATCCTCAGGGCGATTTCTTCATTGAGGATCATACGGCAAGCCATGTAGAGCCAGAAGAGTATGCCGAGATTAACATACTGGCACATACGCGCAAAGTTAAAAAGAAAAAGGATCTATCACAGTACCCACGCATCATTGAAATCATTCCTGTACCTGATGACGAGAAGCAATGCTCATGTGGCTGCATGAAAAAAGTAATACGCCATGAGATAAAAGAATTATTTGATTACATACCAGCTGTTTTCCGTATCGTTGAGCAACGGCGCGAGGTGGTTGCGTGCCCAAAAGGGTGTGGTACGATTCAAACCGCAGCAGCGCCTTTACATGTACTGCCTAAAGTTAAAGCGACTGAATCGCTGCTAGCGCATGTTGTTGTTTCTAAGTTTCATAACAGGCAACCGTTATACCATTTAGAGAAATATGGTCACGCAGTCGAGATATCACGTAAAACCATGGCAAGCTGGATGATTCAGTTGGTAAAACCCTTGCAACCTGTTTTTAATCTCATGAAAGATCACATTATCGATTATAATATCGCGAGTATTGACGCCACAACACTACAGGTTTTAAATGAGCCTGGGCGCCCAGCTAAACGCAAGTCGTATCTTTATTGCTTACGAGGCGGGCCGCCAGATATGCCAGCTATTTTGTACAGTTACAATGCACTGAAACAAAAGCAATTCGTCGATGAATGGCTGGAAGGATTTAGTGGAGTATGACCAGCACACGAATGTGCCACTTAACCCGTAACCAGATCGAAAAAAAAAATAATCTAGCCCGCTAAAAAAAATGAACATTATCAAAATTGTGCTACCAATGCATTGCATTCTTCAAATCATTGCTCAAAACACGATTTGTTTAATCGGGCAACACTTACAAGAAGTACCTTCATATTATAGAGAGAGACAGTTTTTTATGGGACATTTACTTTAACTAAGGATGGGCAACATTGATAATAGTAGACATCCCTGGCAAGGTTTGGCTTTTTGGGCTGATTTCACTCTCCACTGACACATTAGGGCTTATGTAGTATGTAGTGGCTCACTGACCAAGTTGTGGAATTTAAAAGCTACAGTTTACTCTACACATAGACTCGTTAATGTTGGAGGGGACCACCGGATAAGCCGTCTTGTCTATAAGGATTGTTCCAATACAACAGGGAAACGCCCACTAAGCTGATACACTTTTCCTGGTCCCTTTTTCTGGGGAAGCACCCCTAAACTCCAACTTTTTATTTAAGTGGGGACTTTCTATGCCAATGACTTGATATTATTTTATCAGACGAAAGACATTGCACTGTAACCACCTGCCCCCTTCAAAAGTACAGGTTTTATAAATGTAAATATTCGTTTTTTTTTAAGTCTTTTCACGTGAGTATGAGTCATGGCACCGTCTATTAGCTGCGGCCCAAAAAAAGGAAGTGTGCATTCGACCCCGATAACGGGAAAAAACATCAGTATAACATACTTCTTAAACACATGAAAAAGTCTTTTTCTCATCATGCGAATTTTTTGTTTACACTAAACAGGGGGAAAATTACAAGAGGGGTTTCTCGAAAACCTTTTCAAAAAATGCTGATAGCAGAACAGTAGAAAAGGGTTCATTAATAGCATTGCAACGGTGGCCTTCTACAAACTCATGCTGCTCCACCGATGATAGGTTATACTTTATCAAGTATATTCAGCATGACTGCGAGAACAGGTCGACTCCAGTTCGAATCAAACAGCACAGTTGCTTGCTGAAGTTTACGACGCAATGCCCTTGAACATGATTTGGTTTGAGAGGCCTCCCCCCTCCAGAACGGTAAGCGAGAATTCCAAGGAACAAAAAGATTACCGTTCTGAATTGCGTGTTCAAACCAACCGGATACCCTCTGCGCATGCTGTACCACATTTTCCGAGCTAGTTATCTACCGATTCATTCCCGATTTCCCGCCAATACCGTGAAGAGGAAATCCACCTTTTACCCATAAATTAAAAAAAGCTAGGTTTAAACCATGTCGTTATCGTACACAACGTAGCTTCACCGACGACCGCTTTCGCGATTTAGGGTATGAATTGTCCAGT